TTGGACATGTAACATGTATATGTTGTAACATGTTTGTTTAAAAAATATTGTTTAATAAACATTATTATTCAGCATTTGTAGGTGTATTTCTGGAATACCCTGTATAAAGATTATTCGAGTTTGCTAAATTGTACGAAATGAAACCGCGTTATAAGAATACCGGTGTTACGAAATCTCGTTCGCCGTGTGTGTATAACATAATTAACTTCATCAAGTCGGCGTCTCTAACTCGTCCGTCTGCGTATGGCAGAAACGAATTACTTCGTACGGGTTTATAATTAAATTTTTAATTCGGATATTAGTCTTCTGGTACAATGACCGATGTGTACGACCCGCGGAACGCCCGGAGCGCATCCGGCAAAAAGGCGGAGGCAACGAAATGGAAACGGAGATAAAATGAGAGAACAGCTTCGAGTCTTAGCCGCTTTTTCTATAATTTCTACCTTTCTTCTTATTAAATTTCCAAATCACTGAGCTTCGCTCATTATTCGAACGGACGCAGTTTGTTGTCCGGATGTTGGACGTTCCAGGCCGTGACTCGGTCGCGCGATTCTATACTCGGGGATAATAATCATCGCCGTTGGAAAGATTCGGGCGAGTTTTGGCAGAGTCACGGAGTTGCCCGACTAATCGTAGAATTCGTTCTTTCGAAAAGAAAACACATGTCTCGCGTTCAACGCGAGGACGTAAAATTTACGAGGCTCCAAAATGTTAGGGCGTCCGTCATAAATTCCGGAACGAGCACGAAAGAGCTGAGCGGTATATCAGCGCCGAGTTCAAGATAAAAATGCTGCAGCAAGTTACTGATATGCTCTCAAGATATAGTTTACTGGTTGCTCATAGAAATCGGATAATATATCAGAGAAAATAGTTTTATGTACAGGAGGGTCCGCGTTATTAATATCCAACGTGTTATTGCGAATCACAGAGGTATGGAAGGAAATAACTATTTAACTATTGTCACAGACAACAATTTTATAGGACTGCGTAAAACAAAAAGACAATAGATGGCTTTAAATATTCAGGGAAACGACTCGTTTCAGTTTAGATAGACAAAAATCGCAAAATTCTTTGTTCTAGTTTTTGTTAATAAAGTTCAAATCCTCGAAATGATAATCTCTTAAATGTAGATATATAAAGAATGTACAAGATTTTACTATTTTTTAACAAAGGGAAAACAACACTGACCACTGACAACATGTACCAATATAATTTCGTGGTTATTTCGTTGTTGTTTAAGTCTGTTTGCTGTTTGATCGAGAATTAATCGAATTCCATACTCTGGTCGTTTTATTGAGTCGAGGCGCCTGCACATTTGATGGTTTAGTCGAGGAATACTATATACAAATCAAAGACGAATCGACAACTTGCGAGAAAGGGGAACAATTGAGTGGCCTCTGGTGGCGCGCGTGGGAACTGCCGCGATATTGCCGATTATATAGGGTGTTCGGCCATCCCTGAGAAAAACTTTAATGGAAGATTCTAGAGGCCAAAATAAGACGAAAATCAAGAATACTAATTTGTTGATGGAGGCTTCGTTAAAAAGGTATTAACGTTTAAAGTTCCGTCCGGACTGAATTTTTTTTTAGAAAATGTGTAGGATTTTGGGGGTAGGTCCATTCACCAAAAATTATTGCAATTGACCACCGCGACCGAAAGTAATTATTCCAGAACGATTTGAAATTTTTTTTCTCGGAAGAAATTAACCCCTTGTCGATTTTTCTTAAAAATTCGTTTTGATTTTTAGTAATTTTGTTTGACTCTCTACAGAAAAGTTGTCTAGTACTTTGTTGTAGGTACCCATGGGCTCTATTTCAAAAAAAAATTTCAATGAGATACCTTTACTATTGTAGGAGTTATGGTCGTTTGAAAATTGGACCAGTTTTACGAGATTTTTCTCACTTTACGGTGTCTAGGAACAACTTTTTCAATATTGTTAGAGTTTTCACGTATTCTCCATTAAATTACGCGTTGTTTGCATTTTGGAACATTAAAATCCTTCAATCCGTTCAGAAGTTATGACATTTTAAAGATACGCATGAAATTTTGGAGTGACATTTCTGGCCTCACATAAGATTTTCGGTAATGAATTTTTTTCTCGAAAATGCGTAGGATTTTGGGGTATGTCTGTTAACCAAAAATGTTTGCAATTGACACCTGTAACTAAATATAATTTTTTTAGTATGATTTAAAATTTTTTAATTTCGTCTAAAAACAGGACTTACTTGAATTTTTTTCTCGAAAGTAGATAGGATTTCAAGGGTATATGTGTTCACCAAAAATGATTGCAATTGAGCCCCGCAGCCAAAAACAATTTTTCCAGGACGATTTGAAATTTTTTAATTTAATTTTTTAATAACTTTTTAATGAAGCCTCAGTCAAGAAATTAATATTCTTGATTTTCGTCTTATTTTGGCTTCTAGAATCTCCCATTAAAATTTTTCTCAGGGGTGGCCGAACAACCTGTATATCTTACAATATTAAATAATTAATTGCTTTCATTAATCCATCAATTGTTCTATGATCATCTCTCTTCTTGTTTTATTTCTAAGGAAATCGCGTGAAAAGATTTGAACGAAAGAATCGCTGGTTCGTTTTCCAGGTTCTTGGAGACATTAATTTATGTTTATCACTTTGTAATTTTGACAAAATTTACTGTACACGAAGTGTGTAGTGTTGTGAAGAATCCACGATGTGACAGATGTACGTATAATAATTTAAATTATACTTCGTTCTGTCAGAGAAAATGACTATTTCTTATTTAGTTACTGAACTGAAATGCAATTTCGCAAAATCAAATTTAACTTCCTTGCGTTTTACCTTTGCACAAGACTTCTCGTTAAAGTATTTCTTTTTTACAGTTGAAGTCTGATTGAAGTAATATTGAACTCCTGCGGAACCTTAAATCATTCAGCGACATCCTTTACATTACAAGTTGGACAGGAAACTACTTCAAGATAAATCTTTGATCTCTTACCATCAGATCTCTTGTCATTCTACATCTTACAGAATTTTCAATATTTTCTATGTATATTTGCTAGAACTCCAAACATATTTCTGCCCAATCTTCTTGCAATTTCTCTATTAAAATATTCTTCTAATATTTATAACTAGACTGCGGATGTTTATGCAAAGTTGTATTGAAATGGAAAGAAAACACATTCAACGTCTACTGTGACAAAGTTTGCGTCTATGAATCTTTCTTGATATCTTTGTTGATAATTAGCTGATACCTACTTCTAATGAATCAATTCTTGTTTATATTCAATGTATCACAAAGAGACTTGTTTACGAATTTAAATGTTCATAAATACTGAGAATTTATATCAAAAGAATTGGTTTTAAGACCTATATTCATAAAACATGTTTTGCTTCTCTCGATGAGTACTGTTATAAACCCTCTTTTTACCAGCTTCTATATTAGTATAGTACTACCTCGATTATTGCACGAGCATCTCATTTATGGTCCGATAGTAATATAAAATGTAATTTATTCAGGTCTAATAAACCATACAGCGAAATTACAAAGATAGCGAAGAAAAGATTTTATAAAACTGTTTCGATAGTAATAGATAAACACGGGAATTCCCCGCGACCGACTGGCGAGCATTCGTCACATAGTGTCGAGAAATGGAGGGGGCGGTTGCTAAGCAATAAGTAAGGGTGGGGGTAATACTACTAATTGGATTGGTTCTCCCATTTATTTCAGGAATATTCAGTTCCAATTTCTTGCAATAATCGAGGTTCTACTGTATCATTTTGTACGCAAAATGACTTCGTAGAATTCACTGTACCTAGAATACCGAATAAGGTATTGAAATACCTGCTTAGTGGTTTCATTATTTTAACACTAGAATTACCAACAATTATAGTGTATTTATTTGTACCAATGAAATTAAAGCTAAATTAAAATTAAATAAAGTAAATTAAAGCTACGTGAAGAAATGTGTAATGCAATGGAAATAATTTATTCATTCTCTTATAGAAAACTATGATAAATTTTCAAAAATTTATGATCGAGTAAATTTGTTACAAATTTTACAATATTAAAAATTACGAATGGGTCATTTTGACTGATTTGGTAGTTCGGGTGTTAAGATACCATAATTGTGCGCAAATAATATTGGAGTAAATGTAACTAACTCTTACCTTGCGATGATCATCCGCTGTTAAACAATTTTTATTTTCTATATTGTAAGAATTTGATCAATATATGTAAATAAATACGTATATTTTATATATTAATGTGGCAACAGTTAAGTAGTTAGATTATTGCTTACCTGTGTATCGTTCAATCGCTGGCAAAGGATTTTCCGCATAAACTCTATTCCAAGTTATTAAATAACGAGGTTTATTATCCATATATACAAACGTTTACATGCTGTTTAAAAGTTTCGACGAGTTGGCTGACCACGAGACATGGTAACGCGTTATTTCCACGGTACATCAAACATTCTCACGAAACGATTTTCGTGCGGGAAACCTCTGTCTGGTACAAGAACATTCAAGGAAGGAAATTTATTGTCTATGTACAAACGTCGCGGATCGAGCCGTCCGCGACGACGAGGGTCTTCTTCTTTGTCCGTTGATCCTTTTTACATCTACTTACGGTTACTTAGCCTAGGTGAAAAATAAGATCGAGTCTTCGACAGTTCGGGAGGAAATCTTAAGGATACTTATTGTCTATTTACAAACGTCTGCAAGTGTGTTCGACGCTTTTGGCATGAGTCGATGCAAATGGATTCGCGTGAAAGTGTCGCCGTCGATCCTTCGTTTCTCTCGATTTATCCGGAAACCCAGCCTGAATCAATCGCGTTCGGATAACTTTATCCACCTTGATATTTCACGTTCTTTATTTTTCGTACGAGCGCCCTTTTCCAATCGTATTGGAAACGAACAGAATTTCAAGCAACAGTTACCGATATCGAGATCGCGTACGTTCGATCCAAGTTCCACAGTCGTTTGATAGAAGGACGCGAAGGTTTATCGATTCGAACCGTCTATATACAACTTTCCTGAACGCGTGAACTTCTAGTGTAAATATCCATGGTACGATGGACAGAGAGCGTGCTAGGCCGCATCGGGCTCAGACTTATCTCCACTTTATCCAGGTAACCGTTTGGATAGATCCAGGAGTCTTTGGTGTGTAAAACCGACGAGGGTGACGGATAATCGAGATCCTCCATACGGCCAAAGTTATTTGTCCTTTCCGGTCTCGTGGCCCTACAGTTCGGCTCGAAGATGTCCGGTCTCTTCTCCGCCTTGTTTGGAATCACGTCCGGATCGTCGTCGGGCATATCGGTGGATATTTGACCCTTGGCCTCGTTCCTGGAATCCTTGTTAAGCGGTACTATCACTACCCGGTCCTCTTTGTTACCGTACTGCACGATTTCGGTGTGCGCCTTCATCGTCTGCATCGGGTGGTTCCGACGGTACAAGGTCACGGTTATCCCGACGGTCAGAATGCACATGGCCGTTATCCCGCCGGCGAAACAAGCTACTAGGAGGCTGTAGTCCGTGCTCTCGTCCGGGGTTTCGAGACCTGGGGACAAAGGAACACGTGACTCACGCGAACTTGATCGTTATCGAGCCCCAGAGTCGGAGGTTTCGATGTGGTCGGAGAAAAATCCGGACGAGACGGTCGTTAAAAGGCTGGAGACAGAAGAGCAACTTTTGCTGTCGCGACTCCATGTCTTTCCTTGTTTTGCAATTAAAACGACGAAGACAGACAATAACTCTTGCCGTTACGGAGCCTCAACAGTAACAGTTGTTGCGGCTCCGCACAAAAATTTATATTTCTATGTATGAAATGCATACAGTCAGTCACGAATGTCTTCGTACACCCTCTAAAATAGTAATTTTAAAAAATACACTACATGACCCTCTTCTTTGTATTGTTTTATTGTACATTGATCTGTGCTTCTACTTCGATTAATAGTTTGACTAATTCCATTATAACTTTTTTTGTTTTTATAGTGATATTTTATTTGGTAGTTTGTCGCATTTTAAGTCTTTTTTATTGATTTTTTGCTACTAAATCAGCTAGATTCAATCGTTGGGAAGCATTGTTACACAAAAAACAATTGGGGATTCACCGGATTTCCAATGTTACCAACAGTGTACGACTTTTACTGACAGCTAAGTTTCATACGTAACCTCAAATTTTATTTAATTTACTGAATACTACTAAAGAGTTTTTTGTATTGTTGTTATGTATCAAATAAAGAAACATTACACTATATACCTCTATACGAGTTTCAATAATTTAGTACAATTTTCATGTTTTATTGAAAAAATATCGGCTTAACCGTTAGGTGCACGATTTTAAGTAACAGTCACTGTATGTTAAGAAAAGAAAAATTGTTGCGTATTTAGTTCATAAATGTTTGTTAACAAAGAATGATAGAAAGTACTGGGTTCATTCCTTCGTGAGTGCTCGTATTCTCAAAGGTACATTTTCTATAATGTTCATAGAATTAAGGGAGGGCGAAAAAAAATTTTTTAATCACTTTCATATGTCAATAAAATCATTTGATGAATTAGCAGCAAAGTTAAGTAATAAAATCTGAAAACAAGGTACTGTTATGCGTCATGTCTCCATTGGAAATGGTCACTTTATGGTAAATGAAAACATATTATCTATATTATTTATGTTTCCACACATTTTGTATATTACATATATGTTTATTAATACGTATCAAAAGAACATCAACATAGAACATATTCGAACATAATATATGAAACTTTATATTGAAAATAAAACAAACAATAACATTAATAAATATAATAAATGATGATGTACAATATTATGGATAACCGAAGTACATATTTTACATTTCATCGTAGTCTATGGGAAAAATTTTAATGGGAGATTCTAGAAGTGAAAATAAGACGAAAATCAAGAATATCAATTTGTTGATTGAGGCTTCGTTAAAAGGTTATTAAAAAATTACAAATCATTCACGGAAAAATTATTTTCGGTTGCAGGGGTCAATTACAATCATTTTTGGTCAATACACATACTCTCGAAATTTTACACACTTTCGAGAAAAAAATTCTTTTCCGAAAATATAATGTGAGGTTAGAAATGTTGCCCTGAAATTTCATACTTATGTTTAAAACATCATACCTTCAAAAGGCAAACAATGCGTATTTTAGTGAAGAATATGTAGAAATTCCAAGAATATTCGAAAACTTGTTCCTTAACACCGTAAAATGAGAAAACCCCCATAAAAATGGCCCAATCTTCAAACGTCCATAACTTCTACAATAGTGAACGTATCTCAATGAAATTTAGTACAGAAGTAGAGCATATGGATACCTACCAAGAAGTACCAAACACCATTTCCGTAGGACATCAAACAAATTTTTAAGAAAAATCGACAAGAGGTGCTGAAATTTTTCAACAAAAAAAATTTCAAATCGTTCTAGAAAAATTATTTTCGGTTATGGGGGTCAATTACAATCAATTTTGGTGAATAGACACACCCCAAAATCCTACGTACTTTCGAGAAAAAGATTTTTTACCGAAAATATACTGTGTGGCCGAAAATGTTTCTATAACTTTTTAACGAAGCCTCAGTCAACAAATTGGTATTCTTGAATTTTTTTTTAGCCTCTCGAATCTCCCATTAAAATTTTTCCTAAGGGTGGCCGAACACCCTGTATATTTAAGAGAAGTGAATTTTGTAACAAAATTATGAACAATGATATGGATATTCCCAAAAACCAGCCACTTCTAAGAACAGAATCGCCAAAAATTCCATTTGTATTTCTAGGGGATGAAGCTTTCACCCTTTCACATAGAGTAATGAGACCATATAGTGGAAACATGTTACCCGATAAGAAACGTATTTTTAATTATAGACTAACCCGAGGCCTTAGATTCGTTGAATATGCCTTTGATATTTTATCTAACAAATGGAGAATTTTCCATAAATCATTGAATGTAAAATTATCTTTTACTGTGGATATTACAAATATTGTTGCGTTCTGTACAATTATGTTAAAAGCAGAGACGGATATCAATTCCAACATCTATTAATCATCAATGGTTTATACCAGAAAATTTCAGTGAATCGAGAGAAGAAGATTTAAACGTAAATGACATAAGAAATACTTTTGTAGAATATTTTATCAGTGACAATGGAAAAGTACCCTGGCAAAACCAATACATTTAATGGATATTACATAAATAAAATCGATAAAATGTAAAAATTAATGTAAAATGTACATGTACATATATTTCTTGTAAATGTTATTAAAAAATATGTTGTAAAAGTAGAAACGAAGCAAAAATCTGAAAGGGGGTTTGCTCGTCCCACTGCAGCGCCATCTCAGTGGTGGTCGCATGGTTTTCCGGCGCCATGTAGTCATGCTTAGCCGCATGCTTATTTGTGTTTGTATTTTTATGCTTTTATATACTATATCTGTATTATGTGTGATAACCAAATATATATTGAGTTACGTGTGCAAGTGGAATTATTCATCACCCCAACAAAATCTTACTAATGGCGTTCCTCTCGTTCCCAGGCATCTTTTTGAAATTATGTACAAATGTTTGGCATATATTCTGCCACGCTCCATTTTTTTTATTTTTGTTTGAATATTCGTTACATGTAATGCCCCATATTACTTCCTCTATAAATAATTCAATGTCCAAAGTATTGTCATGGTTGCACAATATTGGCAAGACGTTTGGTACCGATTTCGTGACACGTCGTCGTCCAACAAGGAAAAACATGGAGTCGTAATGGCAAAAGTCGCTCGTCTGTTTCCAGCTTAATGCGTACTGTTTTCGAACGCGTTTTTTGTTTTTGCCGATTGTTGTTCGAAAATTGCTAACGAGTCTTGTGTATCGAGGCATCGGGAATGGATTTTATATTCGAAGACAGCCAATGTTCCCGGATAATTGAATTTCATAATCGAGGAGCCCGCAGTTTCGAAATTTCACTGCGATACGCCCGGCTATGTTCAACCAATTAGAAATGTAATTAGAACTCGTTCGCTTGATCGCGATGGATTTTGCAGGTACGTGGTCAGAGGTTTAATTAACTGTATTATAAGAGAGTTCATTGTTATAAATTGGAACAATGTAGTTTTAATTCTTCCGGATATATTTATTTAATTGATCGAATGAAAGAATAATGTTATCGCATTTTCAAATAGACGATAAATTAAGTTTACCTATAAAGTGATCTTTTCAGAGCCGCGTAATTAGGTTTCGGAGAGTGTCTTTTGTAAAATTCATAATCGTTTCTTAATCCAATATCTGTAAAAATGAGATTGCGAAGGATAACGGAAACATGTAAAGTAAATTTACATATTAAAATTATTTGAATAAAGCATGCCAAAGTGACGTTGCAATATCCAGCTGCATGTTATTTTCAAATATTCAATCTGCGATGAGCTTTTCCAAAGTCATACATTAAATACTGAAACAATTTATACGTTTTTATTTACAGTTTAAATAAATATCAAAAACGAATGCATTGAATTAGCGATTTTTTTAAATATTTACGCATATTACAATTTGATACAAACTTTGTATTTAAATGTATAATGGATTTATCGAATATAAAATTTATATATTAATATATAATCCTCAATTGGTATACAATAAATTTATAGTATATAGATTAATAAATATTTATATTGAATAGAGACATCTTATTGATATTATCTTGTATGTCTAATGATCATGATGATCCAGCAGCAACAGGTCACCTAGTTAGTTCTTTAATTTAAATTAATTGATCAACAGAATATTTCTTGCAATAATGAAACACTTGAAACATTACATTGTGAAATGAGTAAACATAATGCAGATGGGAATGATATTAATATTTTAATAATATTCGAAGTAATTTAATTCTTCGACACGTCGTTGACGATATATCACAAATGGCCACCTACTAGTGGCCACTACTATCTCGTTGGCGATATATCATAAATGGCCACCTACCACGACTCGACTCGAACAAAAGCTACGGGAATCCCCGCACGATCTTCAACCTTATTGTAGGTGTCGCCACTTTGGCCGCGTGCTTATTGCCGCGAGATTATGAATGGCTCAACAAATTTCCATTTACCAATTTGGTAAAAAACAACATTAAATAAAATAATTCAATTGAGATTGAGAGTCCACTTGAGGGTTAAATGGGTTTTTCTCGAAATCAACTTTTTCAAATTGGGTGGCTCAATAACTCAGTCAATTTTCATCTGATTATTCAAAATTTCGTATGGGGGTTCCTAATGCTATTCTCTTCAGTAGCACTTACGGAATTTTTGATCGAATAATTAGCTTCGTTGTGGTGTTAAAAGAAATATTGATTTTGTCACAGATCTTTTAGATCTTTTCTACAAAATTCTACTATTTTATAATAAATTATTATTTTTATAAATCTCTATTTGCAATTGAAGCTACTGTTGTAGAGTCTAAGAAAATTGCACGATGTCTTGTTTTAGAATTTGTAGTAAGAAATGACACATCACAAAAACATTTTTAGAGGTCTCTCATGTCGTTTTCTACTATGTCTATAA